GAATTAAATTGACCTGAGTGATTGAATGATCTGACTGAACATTGTTCGATTTTTACCTGGATTATTGAGCATGAACTTTGGTGACTTGAATTGAATTATTTAGTTGTAAGCCAAACTTTAACTTCAAATGGTCTTCAATACACTGTATTTAAACAAAATCTTATTGGGCTGATTCTGTACATACTAAAAGCTGCCATTGTGTTATGTTTGTGTTTTTATAGAAATTTAACATACAAAAAGCTAATGGGATGTATTCTGCTGACGGGGAGTATGTTTCTTTCTCACAACCAACACAGCTGGACAAACCTGTAGAGGTAAACATTTCTTCTGGTCACTTTATGATTAATAAAATCTGTTATAAGTAAGATAAATCTGGCTCAAATCATAGTGGGATAAATATTTTAAATGAAGAAAATGTAACCACCTTTGTGTGTGTTTAGATCTGGCTGTCTGATATTGAGAGTACTATGCGGGCATCTCTGAAAACCAATTTGAATAACTGCCTCATAGAGCTGAAGAAGGAAACACCATCGAGAGACATATGGATCAATAAAAATCCAGGACAGGTATATTTAATTTGGTTTCTTCCTTTTTACACCTTTTTCCCTCTGACATCAGAATAATTGCATGGCAAGTCAGTGATGCAGTGAAATACAGAGTGGAAGTGATGCATTTGAAAACCAGTTTGTCATCTGCAAATACGAATTTCTTTTCCTCTTGGCCGTGCATAACCTGACATTCTGAGCACAGTATTTTTCCAGGATCTTTCTTTATTACACTGATTTAGGATTTTAAAAACCTCTCCAGGTGGACAAGTTTTATAAATGATTTTCTCTCCTGTTTAAGATGATCATCACTGCTAGTCAGATCAAATGGACCTCTGATGTGACCAGTGCACTCGTCAGCAAGGAGAACGATAGCAAGTCTTCTCTAAAGTCACTGAAGAAAAAGCAGGTTTGGAGTGAAGTTGGTTTTATAATCTTTTGAAGCTGCATTAAAATGTTTGACTGGTCAAGTTAAGGTTGGTGTTTGGGTCTTGGCACATTTGCTACATCTGCTCTCGTCAGGTTTCCATTCTCCAGATCTATTCAGAGATGATTCGTAATAACCTGCCCAAAGTCCTGCGTCTAAAGATCGTAGCTCTGGTCACGGTGGAGGTTCACGCTCGGGACGTTATTGAAAAACTGCTCAAGGTCGGCTGCAATGACGTCAACGCATTTGAGTGGCTCTGCCAGCTGCGACATTACTATGAGAACAAGGTAAAGTCTACTGTATGGGACATTGAGATGGATGATCTCTATAAACTTCTTTAAAACTTTAGATTTTCTTTGGATTATTTATGGCTATGTTCAAAATCTAGGCAAATGTGGCCCAAATCCGTTTTTTTTTTTGGCCTCTATGTGACCCATATCAATTTTTTTCATGACAGTCTGAATGTGACAAATCCAATTTTTTCAAATCCATCCCAGGTCTTTTTCATATGTTGTACTGATTTAGGTACATATCGGATGTTTTTCAAAACGACTGCAGTCTGAACGATCATGTCACATTTTATCTGACTTTAAGTACCAGTATATTTTGGACGTGCACAATCCATCACTGTGCAGGCTTCACATGCACGTTCCCTATCACCCCAGCCAGACCTCTAGCTATGACCTCACTCCACCAAGTGCTTCAAAGAGGGAGAGTATTGGGTAAGGCGATGGGCCAAGGGTTCATGTCAGTGTCTGAGTCCAGTGTCTGAGGTCAGGTGTTTCATGTCAGGGTTAGCGGTCAAACTTAGGGTCAAAGGTCAGAGGGTTAGGCTTAGGGTCAGAAGTTTGGGTTAGGCTTGGTAGATGGGGTTAAGTTTAGGGTCAAAGGGTGGGGACATCTCCACATTTATCTCTTGTAAATGAGTCCTTGTGACTCAATGAGACCTACCTGTATAAATAAAGGTTGAACTAATGAATGAAGTAATGTCAGTGAGGTGGGTTTAAGTGGAATGATCCAAGTATTAACAATAACAGTACCAACCTCATGCAGTTTAAATCTAGGAATTCTGCACATCATCAGCTACAGAACAAAAGTCCATTTGCTTCATCTTTGAACTTTTCATTTCCCATGTCCTGACTGAGAATATTCAGCAGCACGTGATACTAATGTTACTGTAGGACCTTATCTATACTAGCATGATGGATCATGTTAGTCTTCAGTTTGTTTTTACCTTCACTGCACCACTCCCATTCCAAACATACAACGCTGCGCCAGAGGAATCCTCAAGAGGCAAGATTACATGTAAACACTGGACCAAACAAGCCTATCAGATGAAAATTTAATCTCTTCTGATTGCACACCTTCAGAATCGATACATGCTGACGTGCAGCATTCGTATTTACTTCCTTAAACACAATGTGGGAAGAGGGAAGTCTGGGCCTCCCTACTTAAGCTGCTACCCCCGCGACCCGACCCCGGATAAGCGGAAGAAAATGGATGGATGGAACACCATGTGCTGCGTGTGACATCACATTTTCTTCAGCACGTACGGGCCGCATCAGAACTGTTAATGGTTCACTGTGGAGTTAGATGGAGGTCGCATTTTAATGACAATGTGAACAACCAAGCAAAAACAAAATCAGATCTGAGCCAAAAATCTGAATTGAGCATTAACACCTGCAGTGTGACATAACCTTAGATAGTCAAAGTATATCAATACCAGTTATGTCCAATATGTCTAATATAACAATTTATGTCATGCTGTCCATTTTTGCTTTTTCTTTTTGTTTTTAGTTTACACCCAAAGTGCAGTCAGATAAATTCTTTTTCCTCTTTCCACCACTTACTTACTCTTATGAACACTAAAGACTCACTGACACCCCCAAGCTATTGCTAGATATTTTGGGTTGGCATCAATCTCTTGTTTTGGTCCTTTACACACCAGCTTTTTTATTGAATGTTCTATAAAAGCACATTTGTAAATTAACTTTATTGGTGTTTTACGGGCAGCACGGTGGCGCAACTGGTAAAGCTGCTGCCTCTCAGCGAGCAGGTCCTTGGTTCAAACCCCGGTCCAGGGGCCTTTCTGGGTGGAGTTTGCATGTTCTCTCCGTGCATGCGTGGGTTTTCTCCGGGTGTTCCGGTTTCCTCCCACAGACCAAAAACATGCATGTTAGGCTGATTGGTAACTAAATTGTCCCTAGGTGTGAGTGAGAGGTTGTTTGTCTCGTTTGTCTCTATGTGGCCCTGTGATGGACTTGTGACCCGTCCAGGGTGTACCCCGCCCCTCGCACAGTGATTGCTGGACATGGGCACCGGCGACCCCCGTGACCCAAAATGGAACAAACGGGTAAAGATAATGGATGGATGGATGGATGGTGTTTTACGTTGTAGCGGCATGCTCCCGGGTGTTTGAATGATGGCAGATCACAGATAAAACATAAGTCAATATGAACAAAGTGTATTTCAACTAACCGGAAGTAGGCATGATGCCATCTAGACCCCACAGAGCAATGCAAAACATTGACTTTGAGCAAGCGCATTAGTAACTGTAAAATGGTCAATGTCAAACCTGAAAGTCTACCAACAAAACAGAAAAAGGTTTTATTGGTAGAAGTACATGGTGTGACATTGAGAAATAATTAGCCATTACGTTTCTGTTTTTACCTTCCTCCAGGAAATGAACTGTTTCATCCGCCAGACAAACACACAGTTTAATTACGGCTACGAGTACCTGGGCAACTCTGGACGGCTGGTCATCACTCCACTTACCGACAGGTCCATTATTTCACATCACATTTGGTATTTCCCAGTCAGTGAGACTGGGAAGGTAGTTTAGATTGGTTTATTCATTCGTGCTTTATTCAACAAAGCATCCATTTAAAAAAAGTGACAATAACCAATGTTCCAGTTCTGTTCATTAGACGAATAAATTCTCAGGACTAAGGGTATATTTAGCAGTTTGCTTAAATCTTTTTCAGTAGATGTGAAAATACAAATATATCACAATTTGGCATTTTTTAAATGTTTTATGATATGTGTTTGTTTCTGGCTTCAATAAATATCCCAGTTATATTAATATGCTTTAGTGAATTTTAAATGTAACTAATGATGTTTGATCGTGTCCAGGTGTTACATGACCCTGACCACAGCGCTCCATCTGCATCGGGGGGGCTCTCCTAAAGGCCCCGCTGGTACAGGGAAGACAGAGACAGTTAAAGATTTAGGCAAAGCTCTGGGCATGTACGTCATTGTTGTCAACTGCTCTGAAGGACTTGATTACAAATCAATGGGACGCATGTTCGCAGGCCTGGCTCAGGTACTTTTATTTATTTATTTATTTTTATTTTATTGTACTCTATTAATCCCCAACAAGGAAATTAATTACCAGTACTTGTGAATTCTAATAATGAGGAGATAACAGTAATGATTAACGTCCAGCAGGCAGCACACAAGAGTACAACTTTATTTCTACATATTAAAGGCTCCCTTCTTTGGCTGTGTAAAGGTTTTATTATGTTCACGTGTGACAATAGTACAACGCTAATTTTAAAAAAAGTTGGGATGTTGACAGTGTTTCCTCTAGTTTACTTACCTTGACAGGGCTCTCATATCTTCCGAGGTTTTTGGTCACAAAGCGCTAAGATAGTGTGTCTGTATTGCGCACAGCTAGCTTAGCGCTGCGTCAGTGCCGGCCGACGTGGGGGCGGGGTTCGGTAGGCAGGGCGCTCAGTTCTGTTGACAGGGTGGAGCACCCAGCTTGTATGATGGTAAGGGAAACACTTTGTTGTAAAATATGAAAAACAAAATGCAATCATCTGAAGAATTTATGAACCCATATTTTATTTTAACATAGTAAACATATCAAATGTTTAAACTAAAGATTGACAACATTTTGGGGAAAAATTTAGGTCCGTTAAATGTTTCCCCTAGCTCACTTGCCTTGGCAGGGTGCTCATCTATTCTGGGGTTTTTGCTGCTGGGGTGGGGATGGTATGTTGGAGACAGAGTCACCTGTGTGTTGCGCGCTAGGTTTGCACTGGCAGTTGTCGACTGGGGGCAGGGTAGTGGAGAGAAACGTGAGGGAAGCGGAGCGCCACCTCTGTAGCTTTTTAACTAGCGCGTCAATATTGCGTGCCACTAGCTTAGTTCTACGTCAGTAATGGCATTTGTCGATAGGGTGGGGGAGATAGTTGCGTAGGCAGGGCGCTTGATTCCGTTGACAGGGCGGGGCACCCTCCTTGGGTAATGGAAGGGGAAACACTTTGTATTTTATAGCAACAACCTGTTGTATATTTGTAAACTTCCTCTTGTCTGGGCCATAACTTCTGATCCACTCTAAATAATTTAATGAAATTTTATACAAATTTGTTTTACCACTAAATGGCGGGTCGTGTAATTTTTTTTTTTATCAAGATATTTTCAAGGTCACTGTTGCAAATCAAGGTCAAAGATTATACAAGTTCTTTGCTTGTCCAGCCATTGCTCTAGATTGCTGTATAATAGTTTGTCAAGGGGTGTTTAATGTGCCATATTTGGTACGCTTGTTTGAAATGCGATGTTGCCAAAAGTTTCAAGACAATCTTTTTTCCTTTTTTTTTTAAATTATGGTACTTTTTTAATTTGTTACATTTATCAAAAACATTCAACACTATCTATATTCTATTGTGAATAAATAATAGATGTATGAGATTTATAATCCTTTGCACTTTGCTTTTTATGTACCGTACATTTTACGTAACGTCTCAACATTTTGGGGAACAGGGGTCGTAATAAAACAAACACTTTGCTCTGTCCACCCTGAACAGACGGGAGCCTGGGGATGCTTTGATGAGTTCAACCGTATCAACATCGAGGTGTTGTCCGTGGTTGCACAGCAGATCCTCTCCATCCTGTCTTCGCTTTCAGCTGGGCAGTCTCAGTTCATTTTCGAAGGACACAACATCAGGCTGGTTCCATCATGTGGTGTCTTTATCACCATGAATCCTGGTAAGTTCTCAAGATGTGTTCTTGAATGGCGCCGCTTGTGGTGGCTGCATGTTGGAGTTGCTCTGTTACATTACTCTTTTGTTGGATGTGAGTCACATTTTTTGGATGATTGTTTCCTCTGGTATTGGATGCTGTGCAGCTGGAAGGGTTTTTACTGACACTTTTTTAGTTTTGGACATTTGTTATGATGCGTAACCATGACAACAAGGTTTTTTTTTGTTTTTTTTTTTTTAAACAACCGGGAGCAACTGATTAACACCTCAAAAGCTCAAATAATATCTCAGCTACAGCCTCAAATCTCAAATGAGTTGAAAAGGAGGCGCCGTAGATGCATTCTCGTCTCTCTGCCGGCTGTGCTCGTGTGCCTGACCACTGAGATCCTGGAACTAGTAGGAAACGTGGCTCGTGACAGCAGGATAGGATCCCGGCACCTGCAGCAGGCTGACTGCAGAGAGAGGAGCTCGGCAGGCTTCTGGGAGGAGTGGCCATTGCTCTGGGAGGAGTTCTGCCCAGCATTTGAGTGATCCTGCTGCCCGGAGAAACTGAGAGGTCGAGTCTGGGTGGACAAATTGGACGGCATCGTGGCCATTTTCTTTGCATCCGCTGTGGGATGGAGATCCTTTACAAGAGATCCTTCCTGTCTACAGCCATCACTTTAACATTTCTTAATGAAATGAAGATAACGAGTTACAACAATTAATTTCCCTTTGGAATTAATAAAGTATTTTTGAATTGAATTGAATTGAATCACTCAGGAGCATTTTATATGTTTTTAGACTTTTCAATCAAATTCAAATAGAAAAGAAATAAAGAAACCATTGCAGAGTTGGACTTTTTTAATCCATTCTTGTATTAATATTTTTTGTGAATGACCCAAGGGTACGCTGGTCGCACTGAGCTCCCTGACAACCTCAAGTCCATGTTCAGACCCATCTCCATGGTGGTTCCAGACTCTACCCTGATCGCTGAGATCCTGCTCTTTGGAGAGGGCTTTGACGACTGCAAGGTGAAACAAAATATACTTTCTCCGTTTTTTGATATACAAACTAGGTTTGTGGCAGAAAACACACAAACATATTGTTTTTGGACATTTGGAGCAAACAAAACCTGCAAATCAGAGGTTTTTGACTGACGTAAATTTGACTTTCTATCGAAGGCTGATGTTTGTTTCTCTTCCTCATCTTTTGTTTCTGTGTTTGCTTTCCGGCTTTGTTCCTTACGTATTTGTTTGACTTTTCTTCTTTTCTTTTAGCTTTTGGCTAAGAAGGTGTTCACGCTGTACTCTCTGGCAGTGCAACAGTTGTCCAAACAGGACCATTACGACTTTGGTCTTCGTGCTCTCACCTCTCTGCTCCGCTATGCTGGAAAGAAGCGCCGCGCTTCCCCCGGCTTTCCTGATAAAGAAGTAAGTCTCTCCTGGACTTTTAGTTACTCAAACAGAAAAACATTTAGCAAATTGTTGCTTTTTACACAGAGAGGTCAAAAATAAAGAAAATAAACATAAATGATGATAAACTATTTGTATCTCCTAAGGTTCTTTTGATGGCCATGAAAGACATGAATATTGCTAAACTGACCTCTGCTGACCTTCCACTGTTCAATGGGATCATCCAGGACTTGTTCCCTGCTGTGGAGACATCTGCTACGGACTATGACAAGGTATGTTGAATGAGGTAATGTAATGATTGCATCTATACCCAGGTGCAAGGACTGTGGAGAACCGATACCAAGACTCAAAATGTAATTACAGTGTTTATTTACAAGGTGATGTCATTCAATGAACCAGGGAGGGAGCTGGAACCCTGAAGAGCAAGGAGATGGTTACTGGTCTGTCGGCGGGTTTGATAATGTTGTTGCTGCTCTTTCTTATGATAAAAGTAGGAGTTAGTAGTGGGGAGAGCTGACCCAAATGGTTCCAGACAAAGAAGATGTTTGTCTGAACAATGGCAAGGGACAGGCAAGTGTTAGAAAGGCATGGAGGCAGCTGAGGAGGCACAGGAGAGCTTGAGGTCCACAGAGGAGAATCCAGGGGACAGGAGGACATCAGGGATTATACACTGAAAGCATGGAGAAATACAAAGTATTTAATATTCAGTTTAACTCACGAGTAAAAGGCTAGAACAGAACTACCATTTGGCAGGTAATGCTCCAGCGCTGACTGGATGTCCTCTGCGGCTTTTTATGCTCCTCTTGCTCATCAAGACGATCTTCAGGTGCTACTGATTAGAGTTAACTGTGGCTGCAGGGAGCTGACGGGGCAGAACTCCCACAGGTAACAGTTAGTTAAGATCTGTTGAAGGAAGGATTTGTGGAGATTATTCATATTTAATGTCTTTACTTGTAGAGAGCTCTTTGAACTGCCTTATTTTGGAGAAGTAGAGTTTAATTCTGACTAAACTGATGAGCTAACATCTAGTAATACTAGTGGGATGAAGAGCAAAGTGGACTGTTGCTATCATGAAACAACGTTAATCTTAAAAAAATAAGAGTGGGTCAGGCAGGGACTATATTATAAAGCTTTAAACTGCTGTCAATTGTTATATTCATTAAATTACACAATGATTCTTCATAACCTTGGCTCAAAACACCACGTCAAATGATCTGAACTTATCCTTTAAGAGTAGCATTCTTGTAAACTTTTGTTTTGTCTTTTGTCCGGACTAGTGATTGTCTTCTTTTTGTCTTGTCTATAATAAAATCAGAGATGTTTTCAGAACAAGTAAAATTCAGATGTATTTTAACTCTGGCAACCAGAGTTGGATATTTGAGTTCAAATAAAGGGTAATTTTATTAGCACTTTTATCAATCAATCAACCTTTATTTATACAGGTAAATCCCATTGAGCCTCGAGGACTCATTTACAAGAGAGACCTGATTTCAACAAAGAAAGATGACAACAATGGACAACAGCAACAACAATAAACAGTTATAAAAAACTCATACTACAGATTTTTTTTTTTTTTTTTTTTTTTTTTAACAAATAGGATGGCTAAAAGGAAAAAGGTAACAAAACAAAAAACAGCTAGATTCCAAGACAAATGTAGAAAACTAAAAACAGGAACATGTCTGCATTGGTCCCTGCCAGGAGTCCAACAGATTCTTAAAGACACTTAGAGAGGTCAAGGTCGAGAGCTTCAAATCTTTTTGTAAGATATTCCAGGAAAGTGGAGCTGAGTAGGAGAAGGCCCTTTTGCCTAGTTCAGTCCTCACTGAGGGAACACTGCAGGTAATAAAGTCCTGAGAGCGCACTCCGTAGCTGCACTCACGCAGAGACATGTAGGAGGAGATGTATGAAGGCAGCAGACCAAGAAGTGATTTAAAGATGAAAATGTACCAGTGAGAGAGTCTGCGTGAAGTTAATGGTGACCAGTTAACCAATGAATACAGAGTGCAGTGGTGGGTACGATTTTATGTTTACATAATGTTGATAAAACACTGTGTGGGGCAAAGTATTTGTATATTTACTTTGTGAACAACAATGTTCTGAAATATGAAACTCAGAGATGCACGATCCACTTTTTCACTTCCGATACCAATATCTGATGTTTAGTATCGGTAGATACCGATCCGATACTAAAAACCAGTGCTGAATTGACTTAAAACATTAGTTTTTTTAAAAACATAGACATAAATGTACTAAGTTACAAATTTATTGAAAACGGCACCAGTACAGCACACTTAAACACCAATAGCTTCACAAGCAGTTCAGGTAGCGCCGTCTCTGACAAATATTTTCAGCTTACCATGTCATAGCGTGACTCCGGATGGTTAATTAACAGCCAGAATCTCTTATCCCAAACAATTGAGAGCGGCTGCCCATTCATGATAATGAAGTTCAGGATCCTTGCAGTGATTTTTGTTGCCTGCACACTATTAGGTGGAAACTTTTCACCTCTTTCCTTCATCTCCTTCAAAGTTAGCTTCTTCAAGCTGCCTCCTTTTGGTTGATTCCGTTCAATGAAGGGTGAAACCTCTAAAGATTCTTGATTAAGTTGGTAGTGTTATAGCTGGAAGTTTTAGTGCCACCCCTTGGAACAGTCGCTGTGCACGTATTGCACGTAGCTGTCGAATGTGTTGGCTGAGGCAGTGTGAAGTAGTTCCAGATCCTTTCACTTGCTCCATTTTGAAAACAATCTATGTGGCGAGTTCGCTAGCGCATGACATCACTCAGAGCACAAAGCATAGAATTAGACTGAATATATCTGCCCTTATGGATCAGTCACATTGTCACAATACCAGATCAGTTTTTTTTTTCAATATCAGGACCGATAAAGATATTAGTATTGGATCGGTGCATCGCTAATGAAATTGCTAGTTTTCTAAAGTTGTTGCATGAGAACATTAACAAAGATGAAATCATGTCATCTGGACCAGTTTCTTGAAGTGAGAAGTGTTTCGTCCCCCATCCAGAGGACTTCGTCAGTCTGCGGCCTGCCAACCAGATCTATCCCATAGGTAGCCTTCACTACTGTGTTTCAAGCCAACCTCCTGTTGGAATCTCAGAATCTGTAATCTGGTCCAGATTACACAATTTAACCTTTTTTGTTGTTCTCTACCTGGATGATTGAGCTTACAAACCTTTATCCATCCTCAGAGTCAGTCAGAGTCAGAGATTCTTTATTGTCATTCGCACCTCATGTGGTACATGTGGTGGAGCGAAATTATGTTCACAGGGTCCCAGTTACATCCAACAATAAAATGCATAAGAAAAACAATGATAACATCCAAGATAACATCCTTCATCTTTACCTGCTTTTTCTTTTCCGTGCTGTGGGGGTCGCTGATGCCCATATCCATCAGTCACTGTGTGAGAAGACAGGTCTCCAGTCCATCAAGGGGACACATAGAGACAAATAACCATTCACACTCACTCACACCTTGGGACAGTTGAGTTTCCTATCAGCTCAGCATGCATGTTTTTGGTGTTTTAAGGCAATTGGAGTACACAGAGAAAACCCACACATGCATGGAGAGAACATGCAAATTCCATCCAGAAAAGGTCCCCAGGTCGGGATTCGTTCCGACTTCTCACTGAGAAGGTTCAGCTCTAGCAAATGCACCATGTGCCACATGAGAGCATCTTCTATGCTAACCCAAAATGTCTGCCATTGCCGTTACATCAAGCTAACTTGTGGTTTTCAGATTAGGGTGAACGTTGTGACTATCCCATACAGTTAGCAGGTCAAGAAAATCATTGGTCATCTTAAATGTCCTGATTTTAAAAGGTCTTCTCAACCCTGAGCAGTACGTCCTCATGTTCACGATATATCTGCATTATCATCGACTTCCACTGTTATTTCACTGCAGTTAAAGGAGGCCGTAGAGGTGGAGCTTCAGCGAAGCAGTTTGCAGGTGACTCCCTTCACCATGACCAAAGTCATCCAGCTTTACAAGACCAAAAACTCTCGACACTCTTCCATGCTGGTTGGTAAAACAGGCAGCGCTAAGAGCGTGACCTGGAGGACTCTGCAGAACGCCCTCACTACTCTCCATGATAAAGGAGAACCTGGCTTTCAGCAGGTTCAGGTGTGTGTGAATGAAAAACTAATATCTTAATGATAACACATATTTGTGAGGCACAATAAAGTATTGTTTACAAGATGGTAAAATTCTAATTAATCATTTACAAATACAGCTTTATTTTGTTACCACTGTAAAAATGATTCATTTCTTAGACAACTACACACTCCACTGTTATTACTTTTAAAGAAAAATCAATTAAAGAATGCATAATGAGCAATGATTTTGCATGTTACCTTTTTAAATCCTTTTTAATTGAATTGCAGAGTATGTCTTAATTAATAGTAATATTTGCCAACATGTCTGGTGTTGCAGCTGATAGCAGGTGAAATGGTTTTTTTTTTACAACTAACACAAAAAGTAAAAATCAAACAAAACAAAAGTTTACTTCTTAACCCCTTTCTGTTTCTCAACTGAAAAATTTGGATTGTTGTAGCTGCAAAGGGATAGAAAATGTTAAAAAAAAAAAGTACAAAAAAGACAGATAGGACATATTAGGACAATCCAAAAGGACATAACCCAACACAGAAATATTGACTCATGATTTTAGACAAACAGATGCAAATAGACAGACACCTACCAACAGTTGTCACTCTGTAGGTGTGCTTTTGTTAAACGTTGACATTCTTTCATGTCTTGGTGCTTATGTAATGTCAGGTGTTCCCTCTGAACCCGAAGTCAATGAGTCTTGGGGAGCTGTATGGAGAAAATGACCTTTCTACAAACGAGTGGACCGATGGAGTGCTGTCCTCACTCATGAGATCAGCCTGTGCAGGTATGGCTGTCTGA